GCTTCTGTTATACAAAAATTTTTTCAGAAAATCTTAAAATAGAGCTATTTCGGGGCTAAAAAGTTCCAATATCAGATTTTTCTGGGACCCTAGAGGCAAAACTCTATCTAATGCCCTTTGTCCCATGTCTCTAGCCCTTCTAGAAGTACCCGTACTTTTTACCACCTGAGAAGTAGCTATATATATATAATGTTTTTATATCTAACAAGTCCCAATACTCAATTTTTTTTACGAAATGTTACGAATTTTTGGCCTCGTTGTTGGTTTTTTCTTTAAATGCCACTAATCGTGTCATATTTTTTATTATTTTTTTCTTTTTTTTTACGTAAAAAAGAGATTAATATTTTAAAAAATCTCAGGATATTACACACATTTTTTAAAAAGCTTCCCATTTAAATTCTATTGCACGAAAAAGAAAGAAAGGTAGGAGGAAAGAAAAAATGAAAAAAAATTTCAAATTCATATTTCAGTATGGTTTCAAATGTTAATGAGGAAGGATGTATGATTTTTTATGCACATTTTGTATTTCCCAATAAGGTAAGTTGAGTAGTGTCGGCTAACAAAAATGTTATTAAAAGTAATATAGGTTGACACATTTCAACAATTTGAATTATCTCATTTCGATTATTCATACGTTACTTATACAATTGTTTCAAATAATTTCAGTTAGTTTTTAAATTATTAAAAATAAATATGTATGTTACTTCCAATAAATTTTTTTTTAAATAATTATTTTAAAACTATTTCAAACATGTTATATTGAGTGCTTCAAAAATTTTGCTGTGCTCTTTTTTCATATTTTATTAGCAGGTAAACAAGAGCAATCTATTTATAAAATGTCCCTGCATGTGTATGTATGACTTATCTTAATTCTAAACGGAAAGAATTTTAAAATACCTGAACAAAAATTTTAAGATACCTGTTATTTTACAGTCGGAATTTTCGAGTCATTTGGTAAAATACCATTTATTAAAAATAGAAAAATATTCAAATCCAGTCATAAAAATATATGATTGTTTTTTCCAAACATTTTAAATATTTTTTTTTCTTAGGTAATTCATATAAATGATAGTAAGTTTTTAATATTTTTTCAAATAAAACTAGAGGTAAAATTTTGAAGTTTATATAAAATTTGTATTTAACAAATAATATTTGATTGTATTTTAGATATTATTTTCTAATTCCCTCTTCAAATTTTTTCTTTACTATGTATTTATATCAATATTTAAGAATTATCTTTCATTAATTATATTTTCAACTTGACACCACAGGTACTTCCCATATCTTGCGTTAACTTACCCTATGAGAAAAAAAAGCTGTTCACTTAAAAATAATGAAATGCTTTCAGTAACAAATAAAACGTTGAAGGCGAAGGTTGTGTTTGTTGTTTTTCCGCTTTTTTTTTAATTTTAAAATAATTATCAATGAAAATATTAATGTATTTTTTTGATTTTTCAAATATATGTTCTAAATTTTACCTGCTTTATAATAAGTGTGAATTTATTTTAATATTTCTTCTCAAAAAATAGCCACTTCGATTTAAAAAAGGCCATATAAAATAAGGTGTGCTTTCAAGTTTCTCTCTGAGCATTGGGACTTGTTAGATATAAAGACATTATATACAAAAAAGAATGGAGTTTCAAAGAGTGGTGTGAAAATGAAGTGGGATTCATAAGCAAAAATATGCAACTGAAGCATAAGTAGTGTGATAAAATGGATGTGCAACAGCATAAGGATAGCTAGGACCTATATGTATTACATAGAAAAAAAAAATGAAGCTTGCATAATGAGTGTGTCAAATATTAAAATAGGCAAAAAAAAGTTATGGGAAATTAAACGAAAAATCTTCGATTTAAAATATTTAATTTTAATTATACATACATATGTATGTATGTATAATTTAAAAACAAAAGTGTAAACTAAAATAGAAAGGTGAAAAATTGTACTAAAGATTACATAAAACATTTAAAGTAAAAAGATATACTAACGTAATAAAGTTTGTTATAATATAGTTTATTATATTACAGATTATACAAACGAAATCATATTAAATTACATTAAAAAGAAAAAGATTTTTTTGTACCTTAATATGATTATTTTCAGTCTCGTTCGTTTTTATTTGCATACTATTCAGGTATAGTCTTCTAGTTCGGTCATTTTTATTTGTATTGCATTTATATTAACATAATATTATATGCTTCTAATAATATCAAACAAGAAGTGATATATGTACATATATGAAATACTATACATATAAAAAAGTCGGTCATTTTAAAATATCTACCTTTTATACTAGAAATCTACCTAAATGATAAAGTTGAAAGATTGAACTTGTTGTTTCAAAGCTACCTAATAAAATAAAAAAGGGAGGATTTAGCTGCCATAGGATTTCTTTATTTTTTTTTTTATTTTAAATTACCGAATAAAAATAAGAAATTTGAACTCAAATTGTTCCAAAATAAGATTTCTTGAAATTTAAAAAATTATTTATAATTTAAATGTTATAAATAACAGTTTTTATGTAAAAGTTTTAAATTTCTACTCGAAATGGTTTTAAACTTTTTGGTTTAAATAAGTTACATTTTGTGTTTTTTTTTTTTTTTTTTACATGTACATTCTATGAAAATTTTTAGTATTGAGTCCAAAATTTTTGTTTATTAAGATAGAACAATGCCGAAAAGTTATAAAAGAAAGTGTGATCATTTTAAGTTGACATTCCTATTAGCTTAGTAGCATGCTATTAGTAACTTAAGAATAAACAAATATTTGTTGCTAATTTTTATAAAAGAAAGTTTTATTTAATCAAAAACCATTACATATTCTTTTCTTTAAAGTTTTCCATAGATAGGCATAACGAACGAAATACTAAATATAAAAGTATCATTGTTTCTAGTGAAGTCTTCAGGTAAGTAAAAACTTCAGGTAAGTTAAATGCCAATAATGTTGTTTTTTTTCTTAGATAATTACGCGCCGGTATATAAAAAGCATACAAAGAAGATTTTGTTACCTTATTTATAAAATTAGTGTAGTTTGTAAATAAAAAATCATAAAATATTTAATAATAGGTGTTAAAATAAGAATATTATTTTATAAAAAATTATAAAAAAATTATAACAAGTGAAAAAAATCTGATGTGATCAGCACATGACCGACCGCAATGTTTGTTGCCTAGTTAAGTTAAAGTGTTACAGAATATTATAAAAATGTCTGTTAAATACTTCTTTCTAATTTTTAGGACATTATTAAGCTTATAGTTAAGATACCTAGAAAAATGTAAATTTGGCTCCTAGTAGAGTTTTCGCTTTGCGCTTTGTTCCTGAAATGCTTGCCAGCTTTTTTTTGGGTAACAACTAGAACTCAAATATAAAATTTCAAGAAATTCCATCAATCCGTTGCGTAGATATACTAAAAAATGTAAAATCGGCCGGCAGATCAGTTTTCGAGCCCTGATCTTTCCAAAAATTTTACATGTTCATTGTTTTAATACGAGGAATTCATATATTAAATTACAATGAAATCGGTTGATTATTCCTCTTTATATACGCAAAAATGTATTTTTGGCCCGTAGTAAACGCCCAGTTGCTGATGCCTGATTTCTTCCAAAAGTTAGGAGCTTTCGCGGATGATCGAGCAAGGCTTGCATATGAAATTTCAAGTAAATCGGTTGAATATTTTCTTCTAAATGGTCAAAAATGTAAAACAGGCCCGCTAAAAAGTGCAGTTTCCAGACCTGATATATCCCAAAAGTTGATCAATCCGTGCAGCCGAAATAAACTTACACATAAAATTTAATCAAGATCGGTTCAGCCGAACTTGAGATACACGCGTTCTCACACAGACCGAGAGATCGATGGACCGACAGACCGACAGGTTGCTAAAAATAGTTTATTTACACCTGTCTACTATGGAGAAGTGTATTCGCATCGAAAACTCGATATGCAAAATTTGTTGCCATCACAGTACCTACCTATTGTATACACAATAGGGTCAGTAAAAAGAACAAACCTGTAGAAAAGGTGTAAAGTTCTAAATTGTTATTCCCATTTGTAAAAACAAAAAGTTTTTTACAACATATACATACATGTGAATGTTATTCATTTCAATAATCAAAAGAAATATTTATTCAATAGTGCTTTGATTAATTCATAATTTGTAATTTTATTAAGTTTTTAATTTTAAAGAGAAAGCATCTGTGTTTTTGTTTGAATTTAAAATTACTTCGAATAACATAATTTTACGAGGACCGAATTTTTTTCTAAGCAAAATTATTTTTAGTTTGATACAATTAGTTTGTTCGTAAAAAAAAGATCAAATTAAAATATTATATGTATGCTATATACATATAATATTTTAATTTGATCTTTTTTTTATATAATTACAGTTTTCCTAGAAAATTAAATGAAAAGAAAGTGTAGAATTATTAATAAAAAAGTTTGCATTTCAAATATTTTACCAAAATTTATAATTTTATAATTCATAAAACAAAATTTATTCAAAGATAAAAAAAATAATGAGTTTTGTTTAAATTTGATTTTTTTTTACGAACATTTAAAACAAAAAAATATTTTGAAATGTTGTTTAGTTTTTACTATAAAAAAAATTTTAACTTATCTTTTTTGCAAATTATACATATTTTATAGTAGAGGCCAGATAAGAAAATAAAATAAATATCGTCCTGTTATGACTTTGACAATGCTTGGAGCAAAGAAAGAGACAACTACAAAAATTTGGTTTCATTGTTTTTTCAAATCAACTATTTCTGATTCGTTGCAATTTTACTTATATATTTTGTGTAAAATATCGCACAAAAATTTTAACGGGGGAAAGAATATTACTTTTCGGCTTACGCTAGCTTTGGGAAAAAATTAAGCGAAAACTACATATCAGAATGTAAACGAAAAGGAGCTAAACTACTGGAATTGCATTCAGTTACAAATGTACAGAGTGTAAACATGCGCATTCGTGTATAATATCTGACATATAAACGCAATCTAATTTTTCCTTGCTAGGAATAAGCAAATAATTGTCAGATTTTGAAATTGCTATGAAATCATATACGTCACCGAAGTCTTTCTTTTCTGTGAGCGGCGCCATATTAGGCGTGTTGAATTATACGGAGTTTAGTTAGAAATCACAAAACATCAAAAATGGTAAGAAAGCTTAAGGAAATTTGAAATTAAATATTTTTGAAATTTAGGATTATTGTTGCAAATTCGCAAAACTTTCACTAACTTTTTAAATAGCGTAGAAGTTAAAAATATTTTTTTCCTACAAATTTTCAATGTAACAGGTAAACTTTACTGTGGACGAAATTCGTTCCTTAATGGACAAGAAACGTAATATCCGTAATATGTCTGTTATTGCTCACGTGGATCATGGCAAATCTACTTTGACTGATTCCCTTGTAAGTAAAGCAACAACATCCGTATGTTTTAAATAAATGAAATTAATTAAAATAGGTATCAAAAGCTGGGATTATAGCTGGCGCTAAAGCTGGAGAGACTAGATTCACTGACACGCGAAAAGATGAACAGGAGAGATGTATCACTATTAAATCTACGTAAGTTAATATTTATACATATATACTTATATTTTTTTTGCTTTTTTGAGATAATATTAGTGATGAGTCGATGACGAGACTGAAAATGTGTAAAAGTTGTATTTTTCTGTTTTTATGCAAATTGTATTTCGCAATTGTAATTGAATGAAAATGGCAAACTGAAATTATTAGAATAGAAAAATTAAAAAAAAAACTTAAATACTTAACGACATAATGTAATTAGTAGAATTATTTTTTTTCCACAGTGCTATTTCTATGTACTTCGAATTGGATGACAAAGATTTGGCTTTTATAACTAATCCTGATCAAAGAGATAAGGATTGTAAAGGTTTTCTAATCAATTTGATTGATAGTCCTGGGCACGTTGATTTTTCGTCGGAAGTAACAGCTGCTCTCCGTGTTACAGATGGTGCCTTAGTTGTGGTTGATTGTGTTTCGGGGGTCTGTGTGCAGACTGAGACAGTACTACGGCAAGCTATTGCGGAGAGAATCAAACCCATATTATTTATGAACAAGATGGATCGGGCATTACTAGAACTGCAATTAGATTCGGAAGAATTGTATCAAACTTTTCAACGAATTGTCGAGAATGTTAATGTTATTATTGCTACCTATAATGATGATAGCGGTCCTATGGGGGAAGTACGTGTCGATCCGTCAAAGGGAAGTGTTGGATTTGGTTCAGGTTTACATGGATGGGCTTTCACGCTTAAGCAATTTTCTGAAATGTATTCTGAAAAGTTCAAAATAGATGTTGTAAAATTAATGAATCGGTAAATATAAAATTACTTCTGTGCGAATACATGCACCTGAACTATAGTGCTCGATGTAATTGGTATAACTTACAAATTAATGTCATATATATCAATCCGACCACCAAACTCAGAGAGTAAATCAAAGCCAAGTTTCAAATTTATATGGAAGGGGTGTCGGAAATTATTTGTGGGAAAAAATTGATTAGTATTTTTAGCTTTATTGATTCTGTTTATTTTTAACTTAAAATTTAAATTTCAAAAATAATTGGTTGAAATTTGAAAAAAAAAATGCAACTTTTGACGCAGTCAACTCTTCCTATTTCTTCCAAATGGAGGGAAGAAACTTTCAATAAATTGATGTAAACGTACTAAATACTATGCGAACTTGTTTTTGTATTGTGCTCGGGGGAGTAACTATGTAATTTGATTTTTATGAAGCGATTTTTGTATCAGCAGAAATGGAAAGATGGCATAAATACCATGCAAAATTCCGCCTGATGTTCGCGAAACTGGTAAGAGAACACCAATAAGTTTGTGTGGTTACTACTTTTCCATTTCGGTAAATATAAAAATTAAATTGCAAGGTGAGGCTTTTATAGGTATATATGACATTATTAGATACTTCAAGTAAAACTTATTTAAATATGGTTTTACATTATCTGTAAAAGTATGTTAAAATTCTTTTTATAAATTTAACCCGATATAAGCTCCAAATTGATGAAGAAAATTTTATCGTTTTTTTTAAAGCTTGTGGGGTGAAAATTTCTTTAACGGGAAAACGAAGAAATGGTCGAAGCAAAAAGACGCAGATAATAAAAGATCATTCTGTATGTACATATTAGATCCGATTTACAAAGTTTTCGATGCTATTATGAATTACAAGAAAGAAGAAATACCACAACTTTTGGATAAACTAGGGATTCAATTAAAACATGAAGATAAAGACAAAGATGGCAAACAGCTTCTTAAGGTTGTAATGCGAACTTGGCTTCCAGCAGGAGAAGCTTTGCTTCAAATGATTGCCATTCACTTGCCATCTCCAGTTGTGGCACAGAAATATAGAATGGAAATGTTATATGAAGGTCCTCATGATGATGAAGCAGCAGTAGCTGTTAAAAACTGTGATCCAGAGGGTCCGCTGATGATGTATATTTCAAAAATGGTGCCAACTTCTGATAAAGGAAGATTTTATGCATTTGGCCGTGTTTTCTCTGGAAAAGTTGCAACCGGTCAAAAATGTAGAATCATGGGCCCTAATTATATTCCTGGAAAAAAAGAAGATTTGTATGAAAAAGCTATTCAACGCACAATATTAATGATGGGTCGTTATGTTGAAGCTATTGAAGATGTTCCTTCGGGTAACATTTGTGGTTTAGTGGGTGTGGATCAATTTTTAGTAAAAACTGGAACTATTTCTACCTTCAAAGATGCTCATAATATGAAGGTGATTTCCAATGTTTTTGGATCAGTTTCGTTTCAATAAATTTTTTGATGATTTATTCACAGACCTGTACTGAAGAAATAAGTTGTGGATTTGTTTGTCTGATATTGTTTTTACATTAATCATTATAAACATATCCTTTGCCCTTGTAAAATATTTTATAATATTTCAGGTTATGAAATTTTCGGTTTCACCTGTAGTTCGTGTTGCTGTAGAGCCCAAAAATCCGGCCGATCTACCTAAACTTGTTGAGGGTCTTAAGCGATTGGCTAAATCAGATCCTATGGTGCAATGTATAATAGAAGAATCCGGTGAGCATATCATTGCTGGAGCCGGTGAATTACATCTGGAAATTTGTTTAAAAGATCTTGAAGAAGATCACGCCTGCATTCCATTAAAAAAATCGGATCCAGTTGTTTCTTATAGAGAAACAGTAGTCGACGAATCAAATCAAATGTGTTTGTCAAAATCACCGAATAAACACAATCGACTTTTTATGAAAGCATGCCCAATGCCTGATGGTTTACCGGAAGATATTGATAAAGGCGATGTTAGCTCTAAAGATGATTTTAAAGTAAGAGCTCGCTATTTAGCTGAAAAGTATGACTACGATGTTACAGAAGCAAGAAAAATTTGGTGTTTTGGGCCCGATGGGACTGGTCCGAACTTTGTTATAGATTGTACGAAAGGGGTACAATATTTAAATGAAATAAAAGATTCAGTAGTGGCCGGCTTCCAATGGGCTACAAAGGAAGGTGTGCTAGCTGAGGAAAATATGCGTGGTGAGTGCTTAATTTCAACAGCCATTAAAAATCGGTTAGGTTTTTTTTATGTATTAACTTTTTTTTTTTGTTTTGCATTAGTCAAGTCTATTACTGCTTCAAACTGTTTGACCATATTTGATCATCCACTGTTCATCATCTAAAATTTGTTGAACAGGTCAAACAATTATCTTCATTCCTTTGGATAGTTTCGTTATCTGAAATAATGCTTTTAAATTTGAATTAACATAACTGCGGTGTAACCGCCGAAATAAGATATAAATGTCACAAAGCTGCAGCTATGAATGTAAAATTATTAAAAAAGTTATAATGACGTAAGAATTCCATTGAAATAATGGACTGAAAACATAAATGGAAATACTTGGGTAAAAACATAGGCTGTATTATTTGTGATTGTTGTTAAAAGGGAGCAAACATATAGCGTTTTTGACAATCTAATATGCTTTCGCATTTCTAGCTTAGAAATTAAATAACTTAGACAACAGAAAAACAAAAACTACAGCAAAAACTACAAATTGGACATTAGCATAAAAAAATTTTTTTTAGTTGTGAAAGTCAAAGGTTGTCATATGTTTTTTGAAGTTTCAAAAATGAAATCACAAAATTAATATTTCATTATTTCAAATTTACCTAAATATAAATTTAAATTTTAATTAAACTAACAAAATTTTAAAGAAACTTATTCTAATAAATTTTCTTAATCCGACCTTATCTTTTCTTTAAGTATAAAAAAGTTTGCGGTAAAATCAAAACTGAATTTTAGCGCTTATATCTTAAAAATCCTTACCTGCCGTTGTATTTATAAAACAAACTGCAAAAATAGTACTGCATTAACAAACATATTTTTTTGACGGCAAGTGTGTTACTTTTATTGTCAAATACAGGAATTATCAAAAATGTAGATAATTTTGTATTCAAAAACTTTTTCTATTGAGCATGATACTAGGCATTTTGAATTAGAATCAGAAATATTTAGTTTTAGTCTATTTAAAGAGTTAGTGATGATATATGACTGTCTTGAAGAACCGTGTGGATAAAATTTTAAGCTCAACAGGACTGATGTTCTCTTTATAACAAATTAAAAAAAAAAAAAATGTATCTTTTTAACAGAAAAATTGTTTTAATATTTTTTGAGGTGTAAGATTCAACATATTTGATGTCACTTTACATGCCGATGCAATTCATCGTGGTGGCGGTCAAATAATTCCAACAGCTCGTCGTGTATTATATGCTTCAGTTATTACAGCTAGCCCTCGTTTAATGGAGCCTGTATATCTATGTGAAATTCAATGTCCAGAAGTAGCAGTCGGTGGTATATATGGCGTTTTAAACAGACGCAGAGGACATGTTTTCGAAGAAAGTCAAGTTGCTGGCACTCCTATGTTTGTCGTAAAAGCCTATTTGCCAGTAAATGAATCATTCGGTTTCACTGCTGATTTACGTTCAAATACTGGGGGTCAAGCTTTTCCTCAATGTGTGTTTGATCATTGGCAAGTTCTACCTGGAGATCCAATGGACGGTAGCAGCAAACCTTATCAAATTGTACAAGATACACGAAAACGTAAAGGTTTGAAAGAAGGACTACCAGATTTAACACAATATCTAGATAAATTATAAGCGTTAATGCAACTGCATTCTTGACAAAAACGCTGCTGATTATATAATCAAATTGTCGTTTAAAAAAACAAATTTCATTGGAAACTAAAAAATAAAACTTGTTCTTGGAAAATTTTTTCGTTTGATTTTTGAACATACATATATTTCAGCAAATGCAACTAGGTGTATTAATTATATGGAATTAACTTATCACCGCAAAGTTGGTTATATGAAGAAGATGCAAAAGCTTCAATAGTATAAGCGACCCTTTCCCAGCACGTTAAAGATTTGACAATGATGTTTAGGTCATTCGCTTGGTATTGTAAATTTTGTAAAGTGGAAAATTACAATACACTAGATCCTCGATTTACGTCATATAGGATAATATGTATGTATGTTGTATATTATGTTTACATTAAAATTGTCAGCAACATTTTATTTATATATAACCGTGACTTCAATAATACGCTTACAACGTAAACTTTACAAAGTACCACGTTCCAAAAAGTTAAGTAAAAGCTCTTGACAATGTACACTTTTCCCAAATGCGTTCTATACGTAGTGGATACGTAAAATAAAAGTAAGTCGGTGATCGGAAAATCGAGCACGCTTTTCTTATACATTCATATAAATTTTGCCAGAAATAACCAATTAAATAAACTAGTATATATTTTCAACAATAAAATGCTAGTTATTAAGATTTTTTCTAAAATGCAATGTTTTTAATGATGTGATTACGTTTGGCAAAAATTAACATTTGTACAAAACTTTAAGTTGAAATTTTCAAACAAACGTCAAAATATGTATTAATATTGTAAAAGTTGTTTTCTAAAATGTATTAACAGCTTTAGCAGCTCTTTTTACAATGTAAAGGTATTGCAAGCTCTGACACGCGAGCACAATCGTATTAATAATACCGTACTTAAACTTTTTAACTCATTATTGAAGTCACAGTATAGCTACTTCTCAGGTGTCAAAAAGTACGGTTACTTCTAGAAGGGCTAGAGACATGGGACAAAAGGCCTCAGATAGGGTTTTTCCTTTAGGGTACCAGAAAAATCTGATATTGGAACTTTCCAACCCCGAATTAGCTCTATTTTAAGATTTTATGAAAAAGTTTTTGTATAACAAAAGCACGTTTTTCTTTTATGCATTATATAATTAGAAACACAAACCATGAAATAAATGATACGTTTTATGTAATTAGAAACGCAAACCGAGAAATAAATGTTTGAAAATATGATCTCATATATAAAAATCGAAATAGTCTTAACGTAAATAATAAGTCAACTTTTATCAAGGACATCAGATGTTTTGTGGCATCTGAATATTAATGCCTCATTTGTTATTGTTTTGAATATTATGTTTCGTCAGCAAGCTTTAAAAAAATATACATACACAATTTATGTTGTAGTGCATATACAATATACATACATTAATTACATACATTACTATATATCTACCTATTCACGATATACGTACATTACCATAATATATTCATAGCATACATACATTGCTATATACTTACCTAAACGGTTTAAAATTTCATTACTTGCAAACAAGCGGCATATTATCATATGGTGAACATATGTTTCGCTTACACTTTATGATGTGTATAACAACAATGCATACCTTTATGTTTATATTATACATTAGAGTATAAAGCGGTATGCATAATGTTAATATGAAAAATGCAAGCCTATGCATTTTCAGTCATTATTATTGTTTGACGTAATTTTAAGTAATGAGTGAATGAAGGTATATGAATTGCACTTTCTTTTCCAGGAAATAGAAATAATTAACTAGAAACCTAGATAAATAGTAGAATAAGTTTTTAAAATAAACAATCAAAGTTTTGAATCGAAACTACAAACATCTTGTTTTTCTTTTTAAAACTGAAGATTCTCCAAATCGGCAGTAGTGCCAAACTTGGATAGATCAGCGTTTATCGCCATTAGGGAAAACTTAATTAAAATATAAATAAACCATAAACTTATTACATGGCAACCCTGCCAAACATAATTTTATTACATGGCGACCCATGCCACAACTGAACCTACAATAAGACCACCAACATCTAATAACTATGTATGTAGAATTAGAAAGACCACCCACACTAGGGAAATTTTTGGATCTACCATTAACACCTGAGGGACCACTAGCAACAAAATACCAAGAAGAAATTGAAGAAGTTGACGAACAAATCAGAAAGACAAAAGAAGCAATTGAGAACCTAAACAAAAAGAAGACAATCAGCGCGAAAGAATACCTCAACAAGTATATACTCAAGAAGCCAGACAAACAACCCAAGCCCAAGAAACAAAAAACAAGAGGAGGAAGATTGGTCAAATTAAGACAAAAGAAGGCAGAACTACAATATTTAATACCAATATCAAACATTAATCAAAGAAAAGCATGCCAGCAAGAACTAGACGTAATAATAAAAGAGCTCAGATTCCGTAAAAATGGGAACAGGAACTAGTAAGAATGAAGAAATTACAACGTTTAACAATCAACCATCAGAGATCCAGCCCATACAACCTACCATTACAACAAACCAGGAACAAACAATAGTAATACTGATAATAATACTAATAATCTTAATTATCGTAAAAATACTACTTAAATACTTTGCTACTTATTTAAAGAAAACGATTAAGAAAGAACTAACAAATATTACTGTTTAAAATAAAGAATATATAAACAAAAAATTCTCTTTTAATGTCCATCAATGAATTATTACAACAAATAGAAACCCTAAAGAAATTAGAAAATCTCTATTCTAGGAAAAAAAGAATAACAAATTCAGACTTAGAAGAAAGAAAAACAATAATAAATAACATCAAAATAAAATATAACAATATATTGAAAAATAGCGCTTTAGATAAGCAAATTAAAGCAGCAATACATGAAAAATTCTTGAAAGTATACATAAATTTAACAAAAATTACAAAACTGGAGAATATAACAGAACAGGATACAACCCTGACATCAGATACAAGTAGTGAAGATAACAACACAACAATAATAAAAGAAGCAACAATGGAGTTTGACATAGATAAGACAATTAAGACAATACCTCTATTTGACGGTGAAAGTCAAAATTTAAACAATTTTATAAATCTAACCAAATATTTATATGACGCAACAAAAGAAACAGAAAAACAAAAATTAATTCAGTTTTTCTATCATGCAAGAATAAATGAAAAAACAAGAAACAAAATAATAACAGAAGCTAAACCTGAAAATTTCGTTGAATTCGAGAAAATATTTAACAAAGTTTTTTCAAACAGAAAAAACCAAACTACAATACACACTGAATTATCAACAACAATACAAGCCAACAGACCACTCAACAAATATATAGAAAGAATAGAAAAACTGATAGCTGAATTAAATATGGTACAACTACTCGAACTAGGTGAAGAACACAGAGCAACCATAGTAAAACTCAATAATCAACTTGCTCTAGGGACTTTCAAAACAGGATTATCGGAACCCCTACACTCACTAATATTCGCAGCACAACCCAAAACATTTAATGAAGCTGTCAAAATTGCCACTGAAGCAAGCACAAACAACAAAACAACAACAAATAACATCCTATACTACAAAAACAACTATTATAACAACAAAAATAATAAAAACAACAACAAATACAACAACGGTCTTAGGTATAGTAACAATAGGTTCCACAATAAAAATAGCTTCCAAAACAGAAATAATAATTTCCAAAATGGGAAAATTCACAATAATAACGATAACAATAATAAATATAGAAATAATAAGAAATTTAAAGTTAGACAAATAAATATAGAACAGGGAAACGGTCAGGTCTCCGAGGAGCTCATCGGAGATATGAACAAAATAAATATAAACTAAATGAAAATTCAAAAATTTTTAAGATAAATAAAGATAATATAAATTATGTAAAATTGAAAACCAATTTTAACTTTTTAAATTTATTATTAGATACAGGAGCAGAGATCTCCATAATAAAACAAGAACTAATAGAAAATGAAGATTTTATAAATAGCAATGAAATATGTAAAATTACGGGCGTGAATGAACACCCAATTCATTCAGTAGGAACCATTTCTTTAAAAATAAAAGCTAACAATACTTATATGAGTCATAAATTCCATGTAGTAGGCTCAGAATTTCCAATTCCAACTGACGGCATATTAGGTTCAGAATTTTTCCATAAATACAGATGTATTTTAGATTTTGATACATTCTTGTTTTCTATAAAGGTCAATGGAGAAGAAAATGAAGTTCCCATTGAAACCAAAATACCAAATTACAATCAAATTAATATTCCTGCACGGACAGAAATAATATACCCTCTAAACATAAAAATTGAAGAGGACAGTGTCATATTAAACCAAGATTTAGGAAAAGGTATTTTCTTAGCAAATTCAATTATACCTGCAAAAGGTGTACCCCATATAAAAATCCTAAATACAAATAACCGAAGTGCTACAATAACAAATTTGCAACCCAAAATAAAACCTTTAAAAAATTACGACATATTAAAAATTTCAAGTATAAAACAAAATAGAACTGAAGAATTATTGAAAGAACTAAATGTGACTACTTTAGATGAAAAAGCAAAACAAACTATTCTAACTATCTGCAAAAACTTTTCAGACATATTTCAATTAGAAAAAGATAAATTAACACATAAAAATTTCTATACACAAAATATTCCACTTCAAGATAAAACCCCAGTTTACATAAAAAATTACAGATTACCTCAAACACAATTAAAACAAATACAAACACAAGTAGATCAACTACTTAAAAACAAAATTATAGAAAATTCCAATAGCCCATATAATTCACCTCTGTTAATAGTACCCAAGAAATCTGAAAATGACAAAAAAAGATGGAGATTGGTTGTAGACTATAGACAATTAAATAAGAAAATAGTCGACGACAAATTTCCACTTACACGTCTTGAAGATATTTTGGATAGTCTTGGGAGAGCAAAATATTTTTCAACACTTGATCTAAGCAATTCATTTCATCAGATAGAATTAGATAATGAATCAAAACCAGTGACTGCTTTTTCAACAAATAAAGGACACTACCAATTCAAAAGATTACTTTTTGGCTTGAAAATTTCTTCCA